TTAATATAAATGAACCATCAGCGTAAACACATTGAGCTAACCCTACTGTTTGAGAAGTTTGACAATGATGGTTCCAAAGCACTAGATTTTATTGAAGTATTTAGAATGTTCACTAAGTAATTGTGAATGATCATTATAGATATGGAATATTCATTACTAAAAAGGAATTACTTGACTTTTTTAAAGTAGTTGACCAAAATAAAGATTTCTCTTTAAACCTCTAAGAATTCAAAGCATGTTATTTAGACTCTGCTGCAAGAGATATATTTGCCAAAATAATGAAATAATTAATAGAGAGAACCTAATTGACTGAAGAGGAAATCAATGCAGCCTTAAATTAAATGAATGAATTGAACAATTAGAATAACAACAATTAAAATTAGAATCCTATTCCTGCTCTTCCTAAATCTTTTTAAGGAGTCATTAGTTTGTTGACTTATTTGAATACTAGAGATGAGATTAAAGATAAGTTGACATCAAAATAAGTAAATATATATGAATAAATCAATAATCTAAAATAATTAATTGAATTGAGTAATAAAATTGATGTTGTTTAGAAGGTGGAGATTGAGAGAAAGATTAAGATAAAGAAATCTTCTGAGGATAGATTAAATAAATTTAAGAATTAATTAAAGTAAATTAAAGATAGAGCCATTCAAACTGGATAGATGATGGCTGAAGAGGAATTGAGATCAAAAAATTCTGCATTTTTGATAACTGTTTTACCTTAACGCAAATACAAATACAATTACAAAAGTGAAAATAAATTTAAAAAAATTATACCAAATAAATAAGAAGAATTACATTTACCTCGCTATTCAGATTAAAAAGTAAATCAATTTTATGAATATATGAATATTAATATTCCTGATTAATTAAAGAATATTAATAATAGAATATGGACAAAGTTATTTGAAAATAATTAATAATTGGATATAATACTATAAAAAAATAGGAAAAATCAATTAGAATCTTAAAGAACTGATAGATTAAAACAAAAGATTAAATAAACCTTAGATAATCTTTAAGCTAATTTTGAAACAGATTTTGATAGTGAAGCAAATAGAAAGCCAACTTTAGAATCTCCATAAGAAAAATAATCTACTCAATTTCCTAATTTTTTTACTTCAAGAAATTTAATGTCATAAACATCAGAAGATTTTAGAACTGCTAAGACACAGAGAATGCCTCCTGGATCCTCAAAGTTATCTTTTCATTGATAAAAAAATGAGTAAAATTTAAAATTTCGTTTTATATTAAAATTGCCATCATCCATAATGGAATATTAGCTTACCCATAATAGTACATATTTCAATATAATAAATATGAATTACTTTATAAATAATTATTGGAATTATCAAAATGTGAATTCAAAAGAAATTCATATAACTGAAGGTAATTATAATGTATATGTATATATATATATAATCTGATCAGAGTCCTGCCATTCTGCTTTACTCTCCTACTTTCTTCATGTAGTGCTCCTTATATTTGTGTTTTCCTATCAACTTAAAAAAAGAAGTATATACTATTGAAACTGCCCATGTGCATAGTACGAGGATCATCAGGATGACTGTAACCAGCCATACATCTATGTCTATTATAATGAAAATCATGAGGAGCCCAACCAAATTCTGCAAATTAATTACCGAATAATTCTTCCTAAACTGTTGAGGCTATAGCATCTTTCATTCTCAATCTCACGAATTCCTCATTCTTGACTGGGAAGAGGTTTCTATCTGTTAATAATAATCTCTTACGTCCAATAATAGGGAATCATATATGAATATGTGAAATGTGCAATGTATACACCACAAATTAAATAAACCCACATTGCAAAGGCACCCTATAATATTAGTAATCAATTATACATCTGAATTTAATGTGTGTTCTTGCCAATCTCTATATGCTTCATAAGTTGCCCAATGAAGGAATCCATGTGATGTGTCAACCTTAACATCTCATATCAATCATTACTTTTGGGTAAATACCAATCATATTTGCCAAAGCAGGCCAATCATAAAAGACATCAAATAACACTTGTTGTCTTCCATAATAAAATTTGTTTCCGTATACTCTTCTTGCCATTCTCAAGGCATCCCATCTTTCCTCTCCAACCACTCTTGCGGCCATTTTTGTAAACCACCAGATGCCATTCTTATAATAACTTGTTTTAGCACTGAATATACTTAAACTCATTTAAAAGATTTAATTTCAGCTCTAATTATGTATTATAAAATGATCATTATTAAGAGTTGAGTAAAAAATAAGATATTTTTCAATAAAAGTTTCCATTATAAAAAGATACTGATATCACAGAGATTTATCAAGCATCATCTATACATTCAGATATAGTATGTTAAATTCATGTAAAAAGTGTTTCTATCAAACTAAACACTTAGATTCACAAAATATTGTGTAATTAATAAAATCAATTTCCAACTAAAATTGTATTTTAAGAGTTAACAATTTTACAACAATTTTTATTTTCAAACATATTCTTTTCCATATGATTATTTCTTCATATATTTGAATGAATTCTTATTTAGAATCATTAAAATTACAAATCTAAAATGAATCATAAAAGTATCAATATTGAATAGATTCTTACATAAAATTAATACCATCCAGCTTTAAATTGATTGAATAACTTATGTGTTGAGTTTTTGAGGGGATTAAAGATATTTAGACAATATCAATTGAACACCAGGTGTTTTTATTATAATATAAAAATATAAAAGATTTTAAAATTGTTAGATGACTTCTCAAAAACAGGACTCTGACTAACTTCTTTCAAAGAATTTTATAAAAAAATTATTGATGATACATATATATGATGAAATATTATTATTTCATAGGACAGTTGTCATACGACTTGAATCTCCTATTCTATTCAAATAATGCTCTTTGTATTTATGTTTTCCTAAAAATATTGTTAAATTATTGTACTATTGAAGGAAGCCATGTGCATGGTTCTAGGATCATCAGGATGGCCATATCCAGACATACATCGTTATCTATTATAATGGAAATCATGAGGAGCCCATGCAAATTCTGCATAGTTGTTAGCAAATAATTCCTCCATAACTGTTGAGGCAATGGCGTCTTTCATTCTTAACCTTACAAACTCTTCGTTCTTAGCTGGGAACATATTTCTAGAACTATGATAAATCAGAATACGTCCAATAATATGGTATCATATATGAGTAGAAACAGTGAGCTATATATATACCACATAACATATAGATCCAAATAGCGAAAGATCCCTAAGAGTTAGTATGAAAATATACATCTGAATTTAATGTGTGCTCTTGCCAATCTCTATAAGCTTCATAGGTTGCCCAATGAAGGAATCCATGTGAAGTATCAACCTTTATAATTATATGATCATAGTACTTTAGGATAGATACCAATTAAGTTAGCCATAGCTGGCCAATCGTAAAAGATATCAAACAAAATTTATTATCTTCCATAATAGAACTTATTTCCATAAACTCTCCTTGCCAATCTCATGGCATCCCATCGTTCTTCACCTATTATACGAGCAGGAATCTTAGTAAACCACCAAAGTCCATTTTTATAATAACTCGTCTTAACACTAAATATACTAAGACTCATAAATTTAGATATTTTATTAATTAATTGAACCCCCTCCAAAAATACAATTTTTAAATCTATTTATAATATATTATAAATAGATTCCATTAAAGAAATTCACTACACATGATATACAATATTCTATAATTATATTATAACATATCTCAAATATCAAGTTCTTCTTCATTTTCAAGGACTGCAAAATATTTGTCAACTTCTGATTGAGGAATTGTCAATGCATCCTTAAATGACCAAGTTGGAACATGATTTTTGTCTACTAACACTTACTTCACTCCCTCAAAGAAGTCAGTACCTTACATAATTCTATTGATTTAAAAATCTAATATACCTTCTCACAATTCTATAATCCATTTTTAAATTTTCTTTAAGATCAAGTTTTTAACCTCTTTTAATTTATTCAAATATTATTCTCAAAGATAGTGGACATTAATCTTTTAAAATCTTTAAATTATCTTATCCAAATTTTTAATTTTGATGATTCTATAGATTATTAAATATCTATTCTAAACTTTCTCCTGAATATCCTGGTTCAATATTTTATAATTATTATTTAATTGTAAATTCAGGTATCTAAATAAATTGATAAAACTCTAATATACTTAATTTGGTTAAAATTGTTTGACAATATTCTTAACTTCATTAAGATTTTAACTTTAAACTGTTCCAATCTTTGAAATTAAATTTTACAATTCTGATGATTATACATAAAAATCAGCCAAACCTGCATGAACTAAATCAGCACCCTTCAATCTGAATCCACTTAAACCTAAATAATAACCTAATCTATATGGTAATCTTGATAGAAAGTATCCTCCTCCTACATCTGTAAATAATCCCAATTTTGCTTCTGGCATTGCAAATACACTTTTTTCAGTTGCTATTCTAACAGGTGCATGAATTGACATTCCTACTCCTCCTCCCATTACTATTCCATCCATTAAAGCTACTAATACTGGTTTGAGTGTTGCTAATCTATAATCTAATTTGTATTCATCAAAAAAGAATTATTTTAATGCACTTGGTGGATTTTATTCAGAAGGCTATGTCTTTGCAAAATATAATGTTTTGATATCACCACCAGCACAAAATGCTTTACCTCCTTCTCCACTCAAAATTATACAAGATGCTGAATTAGCTTAATCTAAAATTGAATTAAGTTCAGCAATCATTGGTAAATTAAGAGCATTTAATTGACTTGGTCTATTTAATTTTATATTAAGTGCTGATCCAACTCTATTTGTTAATACTTATGAAGTGGATGAAGAAAACATAGCACTTATTAGACGTAATCTCATTATAATAATTTATGAAATACGATATATATCTATAAAATAAAGTTAATTTGAACTTCTAGAATATAATTAAATTAAATCCTATAGTGAATGAACTCACCAAAAAAGAATGCTTTTCCAACACTAAACAACTTGAAAATTATACAATCCTCTTATGGTTAAAGAATCAATAAATGTGTAAATATTTTAATTAATAATTGTTAGACTCATCTTGTAATAAAAAAGGACACAAAAAAGATTATTGATACTAGATTACTATCTCAAACATCTATTGAATAAGCTAAACAAAAATTCATTGCTAATTAAGAGAGGTAAAGGTAAATGTAGAAAAGTCTACCTCCAATAATGAAAAGAAAGGAATTTCATTAAAGAAGTGTTTCAGTTTCAGCTTAAAAAACGTCATATTCAAAATACTTTTATTTTGTTGGAGAAGGCAATAATCATCAACTAATTAAGAAATTATTAGATGAAAGGTCTAACTGGGTATAGGTTAAGGATCCAAAATCTAAGAAAATTAATTTTAAATGGCAAGAAACAGAGAAAGGATATGAATATTAGACTATTAATCAAAAAGAACAACCTATTTAGATGCTTAATCATTTTGAGTTTCATTCTGAAATTTCTGATAAGTTTAAGTTAGCTGTGAATTTTAAAGTTTATTGCGATGTATCTAAAATATATAATAAAGAAAAATAGATTAAATATATATGATTATATTCCCACTACTTTTGCCATAGAATGTACTAATGATAATCTCAAATCTGAATTGTTTTAATTTATTTCCTTTTATCGATAAAATTGTCCTTAAAATAAATTATCTGAATTGGATAAAACAATTAAATAGTATTTATTCTCATATACAACCCTATATGATACAAAAGTTAATCATTATCCAACATTATTTGGCAATGAAAATTTATGGATATTTAAACCTTCTAATATGAATCAAGGAAGAGGAATTCATGTAGTAAGAAGTTTATAAGATGTATTGGATATATAAAGTAAATATTAAGGAGGATATAAAGAGAAATTGTTAGAAGTGAAAAGAAATGAATAGAATGAAATAATTAATAAGGTGGTTTATTTAAATACATTAGTAACAGAATAATTTGTAATCTAAAAATATATAGAGAAACCATTTTTAATAGATGGTAGAAAATTTGATATTAGAGCTTATGTTTTAATGACATCAAATTTATAAATGTATTTTTATAGAGAAGGTTAATTGAGATTGGCAACTGAAAAATTTGATGCAAAAGTATAATCTAATTATGTTCATCTTACAAATAATGCAATTTAATATACTCATCCTGAATATGGGAAATCTGAAGAAGGAAATCAATACAATTTTGAATAGGCTCAAAATTTATTTAAGAAAGATTTTAGAAAAGAAGTAATAATAATTTAATTTTAGATTTTAGTACAAATTAAAAATATATCTTATACTACATTTTAAACTGTAAAGCATAAAATAAATAAAAATAAACGAAAAAATTGTTTTGAAATATTTGGAATGGATTTTATTATTGATGAATAATATACTCCATGGTTAATAGAAGTTAATACAAATCCAAGTTTAGAAGTAACAAGCAAATTATTGGATTAACTATTTCCAAGAATGATTAATGATGCATTTAAAATTACAATTGATTTAGTATTTCCATAAGATGAACCCAATTGCAATTATCCTTTAATGAACTATAAAGATGATGAAAATCTATGGGACAGTATGGGATATTTGCAATCATGAATAATATTATTTAATATTCAATATTAATCAAATTATTAAACTTTTTTTAATTGATTTTTATATTACATACATCATTTATAATTTTGGAGAAAATCTCTTAATTCATCGCAATCACAAAGATTTCTAATTATTAAAGTTGCCCATTCCCTTTATTAATGTATATTATGAACATTAGTAAAATGAATAATAGGTTTTAAGGAATTTACTAAAAAATATTAATATATCAAAAATACAATTATTTTTAAGTTCTTCCCAAACAGTTTTATTAATATGAACCATATTAGCAATAAATCTTAGAAAAATAGAGATGAGCTCATCTTCTTACTATTTACTAAGTTAATATAAGGCTTCTCTAAATTCCTTAGGGTAAAACAAAGCTTGGATTTCTGAATTGTAACCACCCATAAAAGTTATGAGTGAATAAAACTTAAATTTTTGTATTAGAGGGAAATCAGAATTCATAATGAATTGTAAATCTGGAACACTAAGTTGTATGCCTATTCTATTAAAATAGTATTTAAAAGTATTACTTATTTTAATTAGAATATAATTCTTTAATATCATAACTTTTAGGTATATAATTGTGTATAAGAGATGGATAGACTTTATCATCAATAGTTTTTTATAATAATTGAAAGATGAAATCTAATAGTTCTATATTATTGTCGTAAAGTAATTGTAAATATGATTGTTGATATGTTTCATGAAATATATTAACAAAGGAATAAGTTACCCATTCTAAACATTCTTAAGTTTGAGTAGTTAGTGATTTTCTAATGATTTAAATATTGAGATCTGTAAAAAAGGATTAAAATAAGAAATATTATTTATCAATTTGGTTTTTGGTCATGTTGTGTATGAATATTAGGTAAGCTTTATGGATTTTAAGATCTTGAGAATTTAAAAGGGTTAATTTATAAGGTTGGATTTGAAAATGGAGGAGGATGAATTAGGCATTAACTTGATTGGCAGTGATGAAATTAGTAAGCCATTATTAAAAGTATAGGAAATTGATTTGTTCAAATTGAATGTTGAGAAACCAATTAGGATTGGATTGAATGAATTGATACATGTAATTTTATTTGGATGGATATTACATTAGGAGTCTGAGTTGATGGAAATTATAATCATATATATGTTTGTCAATTTCTTCCATTATTAATAATATTTATATTATAAATATGAGTAAATATTTGGATAAATATGTTGAATATGAAACAATAGGGAGAGGCAGTTATGGTAAAGTAATAATGATATTCAGGGTCTGCACATTTGGTACGTTCAAAATCAGATTAGTAAGTATATGTGGCTAAGAAAATTCAATTATTCAATCTAAAATCAAAAGAACAAGAGGATTCAAAACGAGAAGTTCATGAGTTAATTTAATTATTAGGTGATGCTTTTGTAGAAATTGAAACATCCTCATATTGTACAATATATAGAGAGCTTCAATGAGAATGACACACTTATCATAATTATGGAATATTGTGAAGGTACTCTATTAAAATAAACTATTAGAGGGTGATCTATCATTTCACATTAACAGAATGAGTCAAAGGAAGGAGTATTTTCCAGAACAAATAATATTGAACTGGTTTCTTTAATGCTCATTAGCTTTGAAATATATCCATGAATAGAAAATCTTACATCGAGATATCAAAAGCTAGAATATTTTTTTATCATCTAATGGTTTTGTTAAAATTGGTGATTTTGGTATTTCTAGAGTTTTGGAACACACTCAAGATCAAGCAAATACTGTTGTTGGAACTCCTTATTATATGAGGTAATGAATTATTTTTATCATTAGTCCAGAAGTCTGTGAAAATAAACCCTATACTTATAAGAGTGATGTTTGGTCTCTTGGTTGTGTTCTCTATGAATTATGTAATTTGTCTCATGCCTTTAAATCCAATAATCTATTAGGTTTAGTTAATAGGATTGTAAAAGAATAAGCATCTGCTATTCCTTCACATTACTCAAAAGAATTAACAGATCTAATTAATAAACTTTTAATCAAAAATGCTGATCAAAGACCTCACACTTCTGAAATTTTCAACTTCCCTCTTATCAGAAATACTATGCAATAATTTGTTGCAATGTAAGGTAAAGTTCAATATCAAGCCCCAATTAAACGAACAAATACACATAATTAAATTGGAAAAATGATTAAATAAGAAGAAACTACTTAATAAAACACTACAAATCCATATGACAATACTATTGATACTGTATAATCAATAGACTTTAGTTAATTAACACCATAATAAAGATTGCAAATGAAAAAAGAAGAAAAAATACAAAGAGAATAAAGAGAATTAGCTTAAGCAAGCAAATAAAGTTTTGCATAATAATAAGCAAGTTAATAAAGAAAAATTTAAGATCTTTAAGGTGGATAATCTTTAGATTACAATTAAAAGAGAAAATAATAGTAATAATATCATGAAGAACTTCAAAGACAATAATAATGTAAGTTATAAGATTCCTAATAAAATAACAAAAAACCATAATAATAATTCTAACCAACTAATAAATCAAATATGTACAATTATGATGAAACCTTAGTTAGTCAATATGAGAAAACTTCATTAATGGTATTATATAAATATATTGTAGTTATAAAATGAATCAAAAAAATATAATGAAACAATATAAAATGAATCAAAAAAATAAAATGAAACTTTTAAAAAAGAATTAGAGTAATTTGATAAAACAGTTGATTCTGAAATGTGTTAATCTACTTATGATAATACTACCAGTTAATAACCAAAAATAGTTACTCAATCTTAATTAGATAGATTTACTACTAATTATTAAAAATAAGAACTTTCTGTTACTTAATAATATTAAGATGAAGAATTTGAAGAATATAATAGTGATGACGATGAAGTTAATCATAGACTTACTGTTAAATAAGGAGACAGTGAGATTGAAGAAGTTCTCAAATTATATCAAATATAAATGGATTAAACAGTTAAAAAATAATCTAGTAATAAACTTGAAGGTATTAATTATACAACTTTTTTAGATATTTAAGAAACTAGTTAAGAAAGTTGGAACTCATCTTCAGCTTCTCCATAAAAAGTTCCTATCAATAATGATGATCGGATCCAAATCTTAAGGAAAAAAGCAATAGCCACTATGGGTTCAGATCTTTTTAATAAAGCTTACCAATTTATGAGTCATCATTTATCCAAAGGAACTGGTAGTATAGAAGTAAAATATTTAATATAAATTAGATTCGAAAAAGTTTAGAAGAAATAGTAGGTAAAAGCAGGATGGGAGATTGCATGTTGATAGATGAAATATTATATTATGAGAATTATTCTAAATGACAATAATTATATATTATCATTATTATTCAATTATATTTTAAGTATCATTCTCTAATTAGAAATAATATTATGATATTTATTTGCATTATAAATTTTTTAATAGAATTATTCAATAATCATTTTAAAAAGAGATTAAGGATTTAAAATATATTATGATATCTACTATATTTGTTGTTTATGATTGATAGAAGAAAGTCCTGATTTAAGTAATTAGATTATATACTAATCAGCTTAGGTCGTATGGTGTAGTGGTTAGCACCTTGGACTTTGAATCCAGTGACCCAGGTTCGAGTCCTGGTATGACCTAAACTTTTTTAATTAATATTTTTTATAACTTAAATATTATTCTATTATGAATAATTTAAATATTGAATAAAAGATCAATAATAAATTTATTGAAATCATAGTTCTGGAGCCACTTATCCTAAATTCTTAATTGGCTTAATTAGAACTGATTATTTTTTTTTTAATTTAAGACTATTTTTTAAGGTATTTAAACGACTATTTAATCGTTTCGAAGGATCCCTCTTAATTTTTTCTGTATTTTTTGAATTTCTTTTTTTGCTCATATATTTTTAAATAAAAAGAAATGGATAAAGCATATATTTTTATAATTTATTGATGAATTGTGATTACCATGCAAAAGTATTTTTTTAAGCTAATTTGATAATTTCATTATAATTATAACTCTTAAAGAAATAATCATAAGTTGTCATAATTTCAAATTCAGATACATTTTATTAATGAAATGACCAATAAATAGGTTCTATTTAAAGATAAGCTTTTTAAATAGTTTAATCATTTTCATTTAATTCTAATTCTCTTTATAATTAATGATATAAATTAATTACATTTTCCATCATATTTTCATTAAAATCATTAACACTAAGTTAATTTTTTATTTCATTATTTTGATTACTACTACTATTACTATCATCACTATCACTACTTTCCTCATTTTCTTCATTTTCTTTAATAATATCTACTTTAGGTATTAGAAGATTCTTTGGACTTTTACCAATATTTGTAGGGATATTTAAATTAAGAATAGATTATTTTCTGTTTTACATTGCCTAATGAAGACTTTATTTTGTATCCTACAACTTAGAATTAGAAGATTAATGATTTGGTGGATCATTGATAAGTCTTTTTGATTTTAGAACAGCAGCTTGAAATCCTCCACCATCATATTGAATTTTATTGCAAGGACTAGGATCTCCAGAAGAACTAATAGAGTCTTATTCATAAAGTAATTAAACTTTTTATTATTCTTATATTAATTAGTGATTTTCAGATTAAAATACTTAAGCAAATTATTATACTAAATCTTTTTCTAATCTTGATCTACTGATAATTTAATCACTATTAAATCTTTTTGTAAAATCTCTTTAATAATATTTCCTATCTTGAATTTATGGTAATAAATATTTCTTTAAAATTGCCTCTCTATCTGGAATATATTATATTTAAGGACATTTTGTCATAGAATGTTTAAAACATAGACAAGCTGGACAAAATACACCATTTTCTAATTATGGAGGATTAAGACTTAAAGTCATAAGTTCTCTCATTTCACAAAATTTTTAGAAATCTTCAGGATAATTTTTAATGGTTGTCATAAAATCTAATTTAGATAATATCAATAAACTGACATATCCATTTGATTTA